TGCATTTTGTTGTTAGCTAATTGAATAGAAATTGCCATTTTAGTCATAGGATTAACTTTCTCAGAGCCCTGACTATCTTCATCCATATTCACAAGAGCAAAAAATTGTGATTGTGATATCCCCTCATTCCCTCTTTTGTCATCTCTATACCTCCCTATATTGAGGTTTGTCAAGTCATGTATGCCATCTCTAGACATTAAAAAGCTAGGTTTGTACGAGTTAGGTGTTATCAATTAAGTTCTAAAATTTTCCTTATCCTCAGGTGGGATATTCTTCTTCTCTGACACTGGGTAGGGATGTGATGGCATTCCAATTGGATTCTATTCCGTCTAGTAGACTACTCGTGTTTCTAAGGACAATCATCTTAATAATGTTCGTCTCGCCTATATCCAAAGCAAAAGAGCCTAATCCCTTCATATTACACTTTGTAAACTGTGTTTTCAAAGATGACTTTAGGCACCAACTTCTTTTAAAGATCTATTTCTACATAGACTTGTGCAAATTAGCCTTTTATGTCTACCCCTATCCCCATCCCTACCTCATGTAAGGTCTTCAAGGTTCTTCCTACTCGATCATTTAATGTCCAAACAATGTTTTTGTTATAACAATACATATTCATATTTGGAATTCTTATCCAAATAGTAGCTCTTTCAAGAGCATTACTATAGGCATTAAAAAAAGGATCCCACCATTAGACAATAATAGAATGTTGTTGTATCATTTGGGGGCATTTGAAAAGAACTTTTTGATATTAGGCTTTCCACTTCTCCCTATTTGTAAAAAGAATGGTGAAATAATTATTTGGTAAGTCTATTATTTTGAATTTTGGGATATTCTAGATCCGAGACAACCATTTTTTCATAGTTGCAAGATTCATCCTCTTCCCAACAGTAATGATCGATGCATACTTCTAGGGCCTACACTATTCTTTGAATTGTCACTTGTAATAGGTATTGTAGGGCCTACATTTTCATGAGCTCTTTTATCTCATCAGTAGGGTGTGGCAACTTCCATAGAATGTGATATATATCTTCAAAGAGGTCTCCTCCTCCATAACTTAAGCGCCATTAGCTACCCTAATGAAACCTAGCACGCAATTATGATAGAAACCTTTAGCATGGGTTCCTTTGGATTTTTGTCACTCTTATCCTTTGTAGTTGTTTGAATCTTGCTTGGAGAATCTTCTTTTTCACTATCTATATGATCATCCATGATGGAGTCATTGGTAGCAGGTTGGTTCAATGGTGCAGAAGGATTTTGCTTCTTCTTCTTACCACTCTCTTGATTCAAAGAGTCCATCAGCTAATCCAATAATTGCTTACATCGATCCTTGACATCAAATTCAAGCTAATCTCCTAAGCACAAAACCCTTGAAAGAGAAAATCTTCAATTCACTTTCTCTAATTTAGGACTATGCTGAGGGATGGAATTGTAAGTATTTAGTTACAAGCTTAGACATATAACATAGCAATTTTTTTTGCTCTTTTCATGAGAAATCTATTTTTGGTGTAGCTCTACTAGGTCATAGTATATTTTTACTGCTTCTTTATTTCCCTTACATGCAATTATTATTTAACTTTTTTGTATTGTTTTATTGTACATATTTGATTTTTTTTATAGAAAAATATTTACAACGAAGAGACTATATATATATATATATATATAAATATAATGTAAATCCTTTTTACGACGACGTTAAAGTGAGCGTGTCTGCAACAAATTCCCCTGCTACAGGAATGGCGATAGCACCGTGGAAGCAGCTTCTGATCAACGCTTTGGAATCCAACGGTCACCTTAAGCATTCTTCTTTCTTCCAGCTCGTACGTGCCCTTTGGTTCTTTTATGTTCGCATCAGCTGCATTTTGCTGAATAAATACATCGTTTTCTTTGTGTTTCAGGCAACGATTGGAACTAACGGAAGACCTTCGAATCGCACAGTTGTTTTCAGGTTCTCTTCAGTAACTCACTCTTTATTGTGCTCGTTTGATGATATTATGATGTGTGGGCTATTTTTGGGGCTTTCAGAGGATTCCAAGACAGCACTGATAAGATCCAAATAAATACCGATGGCCGCAGTCGCAAGGTTATGTCTTTTATACTCAAATCTATTTTAGTATCTGGAAACTCTTAATCTTCTATTTTTCCTCAGTGTAGAGTCATAATTTTGTAAATGCATTTTGTTTTAGTACCTCTCAGTTTAAAATTACTGAATGCACAAGTTATTCGGTGAAACTTGAAAGTATAAGCTCATTACAATTAGTTTTTATCAAGTGATTTGAAGATATTAGAAACACTGGCATGCAACAAGCTTTCTTATGGATTAACTTGGGTAGAGATTACTTTTGTGGAGGTCTAACAATTTAAGGAATTGGATTTCCTGTTTGTTTGGAATTTTGATCCTTTGTGTGGACTTTCGCTTAAATATGCTAATTTACTATCTGGTTAATCACTATTTACTCATATGACTCATTTGATTTCTGCATCAGAGTTGCTGCTGGCGTGAGTATTATGATTTGTGGTTTTATTGAAAATTCACTTTATTGGATTTCTCTATTTACAATACAGATTGAAGAGCTCAAGCATTGTTCCTCGGCGAGGTAATCTATCTTCTAGGAACCTTTTACTTAACCTTGTCGAAGAAGGAAAAAAAATAAAGGGTTCATATTGTAGCATGCTTAGCAGTGGAGGTTTAGAGGAAAGAAAATGGAGTGAACATGAGAGATGCATTCTAAAAACATTAGTCATCAACATGCCATGTCAATTTTCATTGAATTGTAAATTCTCCTATTTTCACTCCTACTGAGTACACCGTTAGTCTAAATGTTGTTTTTCTTGTTCTAGATATGTTGGTATTTCACGGATTCCTGGGAGCAATTCCGGATAAATGGACAAATAGATACTATTGATGGATCGAATCCTAGCCCTTTAAACCTTCAGGTTTGATGGGTCACTTTCTGGTGACACCTTATTCATATTTCGTGTCCATCAAGTGATTTGGGACTCCTTTTCAAGTGACATAATGGACGTTTTTCTTTATTTATACATACCTCATTAGAATGAAGAGGAGATTCACGGAGAATTTCTTCATTTGGAACATTTAATTATCAATTTCTATACAACTATTGCAAAGATTAACTGTTAAGTTGTTATATAATTCATATGAATATGTTGTTTAGCAGTCATATCACATCACAGATCTTTTTTCTTTTTCCCCAAGATTGAGTACAATATGTACATCATATCTTTTCCTCAGTTTATTGATACCAAATGCAGCAAAGAGAGAAATCCTGGTTTGCAAGTTCACTGAGATCAAGGTTGCAGTATTTGGGGCCTAACCCAGGATTTCCCTGTCTAAGTGAAGAAATGCAGCCAGAAATATCTTTAGATCCTTCTACTGGTCCAGTTGATGCCTTTTGTTTGCTGATTCTAGACCCGGATCAGGTTGTGATATCTCTCAGAGTCTGGCATCATTCATAGCTTTTCCCCACACATATTAGTCACTTTGTCTTCCATAATTTACAGGTTGATTACTTGAATTTGAAGAGTAACTTGAGGCTGACATATAAATCAAGTGTCAGTGCCACTGCAGAGAAAAGCTGGAGTGTTGTGAGGGTCAACCCATAACATCTCTTTGATACAAGTTCTAATGAGAAGTTGCATGATCTAAAAGTATGGGAGAGAAGCCAACAGGAAACTGCCCATCTGATTCTCTCGGTACTGTAGTACCATGTGTGCTAGATCAGGATTATAAATCCATTCTTCTTAGGTTTCTGAAGTCTGAATGATTGAAATTTGTATTTATCTGCTGAATAAAAAAACTATTAGTATTAGATGCAAATTGGTCTTTGTATTTATCTGCTGAATACAAAAGCTATTGATATTAGATGCAAATTGGTCCATGGACAATAGTGTTTTGCAAATTATTATGTTATTGAGAATTAGAATTATGGTGAAAACTAAAAGAGGATTTACTGGAAAATCCTACTAAGCGATTTTTTTTCCTTTTTTTCATTTCCCACTTAAACTGTGGAGCAGAGCGTCAATTTGAAGAAGAAACTGTAAGCAGAAAACCAATTTGACTATCTAGGTTTTCAGGGGAGAAGCTTGCAAGACATTTATTTATATTATCTATGAGATTTTTTTAAGTTATTTAATATGTAATTTCTGGCTTGCAATATGAGGTGTTCTGGCTTCTTGGAAATGAATTTTTTAAAAAAAATTATTTATGATTCTATTTCAAAATAATTATTAATGGATTTGGTTGGTTGTATAATTTTTCCCATTTGCACATTGGATTCTTTAGAACATAATGAGTGTTTTGAAACAGTTTCATTGTACATTTGAAGTGAATGTCTCATCTTGACAAAAATTCAGCTGATTCTGAAGAAATTCTCTCACATAATAGTTAACTTGAACTTTCTTGTAAGATCTGCTTCCAAAGAACTGATGACTTTCTTGCACTAGCATATGATAGATCTAGTTGCCTAAGACATCTCATCGTCAGTGATTTAAATATGTCGGTCATACTTTAAATCCTAGATCTACATGTTGTCATGTAAAATGCTGCAGCTGATACATGAGACTCGATGTTTAATGGGGAATATGTTGAGAGAATGGGTGCATGCAAAACAGGTAAAGCTAATATGAAGGTATACGTTAACCTTGTTAAGATCTACTTGCTATTTTTATGATTTTTACATAATTTCTTCTTCTCCCTGCTGTCCGCATATGAGATATCTCAAATGCTGATCTTTTGTAAAGGCTACTGTATAATGCTTAACCATGGATACTCTCTTTCAACTCGTGATCTTATTGCATAGAAAGTATCAGGTCATTGATGGTGCTACAAATATCCAACAGAGAGGCTAACAACAATCACCTTAGCTCTTGACTAAGTTCAATGTGCTTTTTTTGTGAGAGCTAGAATAACTATGTATCACTTTGGTCAGAATAACTAAGTCCAATTCTGATGTACGAGCTCATATATAATTTGTTCAAACTAAAGGAAAAGAGAACTCTTTAATCAAGTAATCTTGCTTCTTTACATCTGTTATCTCATGTTTCTTAAAGAAATGGACTAGCCCCACATGTTGCTCACTTGGAAGCTAGAGCTAAAGAATCCTGAAGAAGGAGAAAGGCCACAACATTAGTTAGTACTATTGTTAGGATCCTCCGGTAGTCTTAACATTGTGGCATGTCTGTTGGAGGGTGTGGTAAGGATTCCTGCTCTCCTTTTCCATTCTTCACAATAAACACCATTCCTAGCCCCCATGATTGGTGTATGTCGATGTGACAGTGCATATACCATACCCCTGCGGAAAAAGGATAGAAACGTGAAGCCAAACAGCTACAAAGACAAATAAAACGGTCATTTACATTTCTATACCTGGATTATCAGCAACGAATTGAATTGCTGCCCATCCACCCACTGGAACTCCAACTGTGCTCATGTAAGGGGGATCCACTAAGTTGAATTTTGCAGTTTGTGGGTTATAGTTCCCTGTGCCATAACCTATGACATAAAAGCTGTGACCATGAAAATGCATTGGGTGATTTTCAGTGTTTACTGTGCCAGTGTCCTGCAGAATGAGTTGCACCTTACTGCCATATTCAAGGACCTTTGTTCTGGTCCCGTTCAATGACTGTGTGTTGTATGGAATGTTATTAGGTGCCCCGTATACAAAGTCATAGAGCTTAGAGGGCGCATCAGGAAAATCTTCAGTATACGATCCATTTATCTTCCTATAATAAGCTTCAAGAATTGACAGCTTGGGCTGAATGAAACTTATATTGTTCATTGAAGCAGCCATGATACCATCATTAATGGCTTGGCAGCTTTGATTTGGTGTCTTTGAATGACACATTTGGACGTTCAATCCAATGGTAATGAATAAGTTTTCATCAATCTCTTTGAAAACATTGACTTGATTGAGGCTCCTTAGTCCATCCATGAATGTCTTGACAGCCAGGCTGTCGTCAAGTTTAGGTAGTTTAGCTGATAAATATAAGCTATCAGGTGCTGCACCAATATAGTGGAAATAAGCAATGGCTGAAGTATTTTGATAATTAACGATCCTTCCAGACTTGTAAGGTGCCACAGCAATGGAATATCTTCCTACTGGTTGATCAGCTGTGACTAGGGCAATCATTGTCTGGCCTGGTCCCACCATTACTATATCTGTTGTGAATGGCTTGGTGTATTCAGCATCGGCTTCCACGATTGTTAATTTGTGGTTAGCAATGGCAAAGAAGTTCTCCGTGTTTAGACCTGCATTAATGAGTCTGAACATATAGGTCCTCCCGGTAATGACATCAATTTTGTGGACATCTGAAATGTTGGGAGAAAAAACCTATGAGGGGGAGAAAAAAAGGAAAAGCGGAGACAGAAACTTTAAAGTTCAAGCAGTTACAAGTTGTGATAGATTATATTAGAAGAGAAGTAAAGTCAGGTATATTTATACTAGGTTAAAGTTATCAGTCATTTTGTTTTCTAGAGACTATTATTAAAACCAACTGTGAGGTAATTTAAAGTTGTCTAGACAACATAACAGTATATCACAATCCTCGTCATGATCAGATTGTAGTATTGTTTGCCATCTCATATACCATTAGTGGAGCAATTGTAGTTGGGGCCTGGATGACCGTTAATGGTGTATGCATCTGGTCTTGGAGGTGCTCCTCCACTTGCTAGAGTGGCTTGTTCAATCTGTACAAGATCCTTTAGCCAATATTCCCCTGCCATTTTACCATCCAAGTCAAAAGAACAGTATTATATGTAGTCATAAAACATACCTAAATAAATACTCAATTCAAAATCATAGAAGGAGATGGCATCTCTTTGAAAAGTTGGGTTCAATTCTTTCCGGGAGCACTATAGAAATAAAATCCTAAATGCTCCAAGTTGATGTAGGGGAAGTAAACCTTTGAAAGATTGCCACATGAGGAGATTTAGCCCCAGAATGCCTGAGGATATCTTTGGATGTGATCCTCCCCCCAAAAAAAAAAAAGTGGGAAGAACATCTTTAGGTTACCCAGTATGATTGTTTGCTCTTGATAGGGAATCTTGAACGGGTAAGAGAACCCAGCCTTTGGATAAACAATCATGGCACCATAAACAGTTCCTCGGAGCCACGAAACATGAGCATGCCAGAAGAATGTACCCTTCTGCTTCACCACTGTAAAATTGTACGTGAAAGCTTGACCTGCTTGAATTGGACATTGTGTAATATATGATGGCCCGTCATACCAGCATGAAAGCTTCTGCCGAACACCATGCCTAAGATTTCAAAATTTCAATCTGGTGTTCATAAATCATATAAGAGTTAGTTTTATGCATGAGGTTTGACATGGATTACCAGTGGATTGTGACATTGAAAGGTGTCTGATTGGTAACTTTAACGATGATTCTATCATCTTCTTGAGCATAAACCACAGGTCCTGGAAACATGCCATTGATTGTGACAATGTCTTTGGAGCTGCAGAGTTTGGTAACTTTCTTGGTTTGTACCTGTAGACAGTACCATCTTCATTAGCTGAACAGAGATGAAGTATAATGCAATCCAATGGATGTTGGATATGGGTGTATAATGCATGCTTAAAGAGTAAGAAATTAGACCTTAAAATCATAGAACCTGGTTGGTCCTCCCACGGACCTTCCATCTGCCAAAAGTTTCAGATTGTAGAGAGTAGACATTACGCTTAGCCCCAGAAGAAACAAGGTGACCGGGTTGGCCATTTTTGGTTGTAGTGTTGGAGGTGGAGGCTTGAGGTAGAAGGGATGCCCTTAAAAAGACCTGGTGGTCTCTCTGTGGGTTGATTTATTTTGTGGAAGGAAAATAGAAAAAGAGATTATGTAGTTTCTCTTCTATTTGTGAGCTTTCATGATTCCTCTAGCGTGGATTGGTGATTATAAGATGTTGGGAAAGTGATTATTCAACACGACCCCATTGGTGGGGAAGATTTCAGCGTAACTTTCTCTGTTTTATTATCTTTTTCTCCCAACCTTTCCTGTCAACATCTTCTATTGCAAATTATGTCATTAGACTCATAATATCGAGGGCACACACGCTTATAAACATGTTTTATATCTGACACCCACCGCAATCTGCTGCTCTCTTTCTGCTCTAATTATTTTGTGTCATTATGATTTTTCTAATTATTTTTTCTTTATGGTATCATTGTTCTAAGTTGACTCGTGCAAAGCATTTTGTGGAAATCGGACTACATGGCTGCATTCTCCTTCAGATTTTACTTGTAATGTTGCTGTAAAGTGCTTGGGTTTCAACTCGCAGAGCAACCATATTTTGATTGTCTTTTGTGACTCTAGTTTTTTGTGTTTTGGGGGGGTTGGTTGTGTTGATTTCTGAAGAGGAGATTAAATGAAGCTCTGAAAAGACAAAGATTTAGACAGCTCAGAACGTTGATTTGTGCCTTTGTATTTGAGGAAAAAGATGAGAGCAAGGTAGGTCTCCTTCGTTGTGCTTTTAGTGGGCATTGCCTTCTCAATCCTAAGCAAAGTTGTTGCACGCCTTAACATCCAAGACCACCATTGTTGGTGAATTTTACAGCACTCGCTCCCTCAAGAAGTGTTGAGATTGATTTGTACGTATTTCAAATAACTTCGATTCATCCACACTGTAATTAAGAAATGACAAGATATATCGTGTCCTGATCCTGAGAAATATATTTGATCTTTAAACATTTTAAACTATAAATTAAGGAAGCAAAAAATTGTGTGATGGGACAGGGGCCACCCTCAGAAGAGACGCTGTTATTTTGAAATTATGTGTTAGAAACTCATTCAGTTAGTTTTGTGAGTGCGTGAGGGTGCGAGGGCTATATGTTTTGAAATCTTAAGAGTAAATTTTTTTTTTAAAAGAAAAATTTATATGTATAAAAATTCTTGCATGTTTTTAATACAAAAAAGTTTAAATGTGTTGGGTATTGGGGATTTACTAGGGTTAAAGTATGCATTCAGTTCCAAAAAACACTTTTAAATATATCTATGGATCATCACCAATAAGGTCCTCATATCGGCAAGAAGATTTGATTCTACAATCTTATAGATTAAGGGTTAAATTTTTACTAGTTAGATTAACCTTTATTACTAGTTCTTGCATTTTTTTTAATCATAGTGAAAATGAAAATAAGAAGTTTGTTTCCCTTAAAAAATATGAATAGGTTCTATTTTAGTGAAGTGCTTTTTTTCCAGTTAGTCATCATGCTTCCATTTGTCTGTTTTTGCATCTTCTTTTCTATGGACAGCTCAATAAAACATTAGAAATTTTGAAAGTAATTTCAGTTGGAGTAAATGTTTATATCTATTGAAACATTAAGAAGTGATTTGATTAAGGACCTAACCTAACCTAACTATGATCCAATAATTTGCTTGATCACATGTGTGAAAAGCTAATGATTGAGAGCAGTTTTATTTCTCCAAATAAACATTTAAGTGGACTAATTTAATCATGGATCAATATCTACAGATAACTAATTTTTATGGAAAAAAGGCTACTATATTTATTTATAATTAACCTCTACGTTAGTTTAAAATGCATTTTTTTGAGATGAGAGGAATTCCTATTGACCTATCTCTGTATAAACAGCTCTTGAAGTAGATGTATTAGTATATCTAAATATTAATAAATAAACTTTGGTAAACTTGGTGTATTTTCCTGCTAGTGAGTGTACTTGAAAATAATAATTGCTGGGTCTTACCCTAAAGCGTAATTGAGAATTTATCCAGCTATTTTGTGGGTGCAAAGGTGGAGCAAGGAGATGATTGTGTCTGATGCATGCCATGCACATATAATATAATATAATAAGTGTGTGTGTATATATATAGAGAGAGAGAGAGATCAGGTCAGAAAAGAGAAAGAGAGATAAGGTCAGAAAAGAGAGAGAGAGACTTGGGAACCACGCTGCTGGTGAGCGTGTGATGTTGTTGTCAGTGCTCCTTAGTCCCTCCATGCACAGAGTGGGAGGAAATGCAAATGGGGATGGCTTCCTATACCATATTTAACTTTTTTAAAATAAAAAAAAAAAAACTCGTAGTAAATCAAAGGATACATCAAATACTTAAACATACTTGGATCACATTTGGTTACTAAAATTAAATGAAATAGAATAGATTAAAAAATTAAAATAAAAATGAACTAAATCAATATTCTCCCTATAATAATCATGATAAAAGTTATTAATATATTATATAAATATGAGAATCATCATATCTTTCAAAAATCTCATGAATCATGATTCTCAATTTCATGAATTAAATTATCCACCTCCCTTATTCTTTGATCATTTTATTTTTATTTTTTCAATTCTAATAAGCAAATGTGATCTTAATTCTTAAATTCTGTTTGGTTATTAGAAAGGATTGAAATAAAATGAATTGAAAAATAAAACTAAAATGAACTAATTTTTCTTTTCTTTTATAGTAAGCATGATAAAACTTAATACTTTAGATCACAAATGAAGGAATTATCATACATTTCAAAAGTCTCATAAATCATGACTCTTATTTTCATGAATTAAATTATCTATCTCTCTTATAAATATGGTTCATTTATCTCCTTCACATTTTGATCATCTTATTTTTATTTTTATTTTTTTAACTCATTTCATTTTATTTCATTTTAATAACCAAAAGAGACCTCAATGTTTTTACTCAAAATTCATCATTTTTTTGCCAAAAAGAAATTCATCATTTTTAAAGTATCATTTGAAATATTTGTTAAAAGATTACGAAAATCAGGGTATTGGATACAGAATAAATAAAGTGGCACTCACAATATCATTTAAAAATTAGGGTATGTATGTTACAATTGATTTGAGAGTTTGAGGCAGTGATTTCCCTTTGCTTCACGGCTACTCTTCAACGCTGTGGGTTCCTGCAGAGCTGAAATAACATGTTATTTATTCATAAACCAGAAGACATAATAATAATGCTCCAATGCAAACACCCAACAGAACAGCCAAGTAATAATTCACTATTTTTATTTGGGAAATCCCTCAATTGTTAAGCCTAATTTATTTTAATCCTAAAGATGTTAATGAGCATATATGAGTTATTTATTTGTTTTAAAGAAAATAAAAAATCGTTTTACCTTTGTTTTGTTATTCATTGAGTTTATTATTTTCAGAAGCTACCTCATACGGTAGTTTTTAATATTAAAGCTAAGCTGAATAAATTTTAAATTTCATAAAACAAACTACACACGCGCACATGTTAACATTTTACGAGATAAAATTAAAGCTATTAGGAAAACCATGCGTTCTTTCTTTTTAAAAAAAAAAAAAGTTCAAATGAGTTGAGCATGGAAATTCACAGGACCATGACATATTTCTAAATTTAAATAACGCTTATATAAATATTTATAGAATGCTTGTCACAAAAATTATTATATTGACAACAAAGTTCGATCTCATAATTTTAAAAGTTATAAATCAAATCCTTACCAATTGAATTTATTTTTATTAGTACCCATGGGTTACCCGACTCAATTTATAGTCATTGCTTCTCTCCTTACAAGTTGCAGCGCCTTGCTCCTCATGTCATTCTACAGCCCGTTTTGTTAGACGTTTTGCAGTGCTTGTCTTGGTTTTTTTCTTTTGATTTAATTATCCTGTAATCTGACTTTATTATGTTATATATATTTCATGAAAAAAAAGACATGTAAGTTTGTTAACGAATTAAGCGACTTTATACTTTTCTTAACAACGTAAGATTCTTAAATTTTCAGTGTGGACGTAACATCTATATCTGACTTGGCAATTAGCACCGACAATCTGTACCCGCAATGCTCCCTTTCCTCCAACCATGTTCAATTTGGTTTGACTGGATCTAGTCTCTACCATGTTTTGATGCAATAATTTGTACCTTTAACATTCGTACTTCTAAGGAAGAAGAAAAAGAACTAGTTGATTGACATTGTTTATTACATATTTTCTACGTATTAATTAAGTTCCATGAAGTTCTAATATGTATTTGTCATAGTTTTTTTCTTTTTACAATAATGTTTTTAATTAAGAGCACGAAAATCACTTTTTACAATTTTTTCCTGCTATTTTTTAATCTAATCAAACGTAAAAAGAATAATGTATTCATTCCTTTTCTTTTCCTGTCCTTGGTTACAGATAGATGCATTCTATCATATCACATCAAATACAAGTATTTCCTCAAGAAATCCCAGCGAATCGTTTCAGAATTGCCCAAATGGCCCTCCCCCCCGGGGATGACGGAATGGCCTAGAGCATTAAAGTTACAACTGGAGCCATATTGTTAGAGTAGTAATTTTAATGTCAAATTATTTTCTTTCTATTTCTCAGAACTTTCGAGGAAGTCTTGCTTCAACAATCAAAGAATACCTTCTTTTGCAGCAACTTGTTACGCAATAAAGGAAGTCTTGCATCAACAATCAAAGAATAGCATCTTTAGCAGCAAATTGCTGCACTGAGACGAGATAAATCTCAATTTCAGAAAAAAGGGGGGGGGGGGAGGTGAAGAACCAATGTTAGTTCAGCAATAATTATTGATCAGCCACAAAAAGGACAGTGAACATGCAATTTCACAGCACTCTTTGCAGGCTTCAATTTTGAAGCTATCCCTGTTCAAACGGTTCTCACTAATTGTAAGAGTTTCTCACAACAGGGAAGATGTGAGAGAAAAAATTTTCCATAAAACCTCCGGTCAACCTTTTTGCAGTATAGTCATTTCATGACCACTTCATGCATCTCTTCTGTTCATAATTTCACAAGAAACAGAGTAGGAATTAGGGACCCCTTGACCCACCCACAAAAAGGATTTCAAAGCATTATTTCCACGCATAAATTTGAAATCAACATCCAACCATGACACATCGCGTTAATTTCACATATAAAGCACCTCATCCTCAATCAAATTCTAAGGCACGCAATTATAGAAATCAATTACGCACAACCATTTTTGCAAATTAATTGATTATCCAGCCCGGACTCTCAGGAGTAATACCATAAGCTCAAGAGACAGGACTAAGAATGAGCGTATAAAATTGATATACAAGGGAGTTAGACTTGAAGTTGATGGGTCTACTCTTACTGATGGCCACAGTTCATGTGGAGGATTTTTGAAGGATAAAAACAATACCTGAATTCAGAGTTTTAATCAGAAACTAGGGCATATTCCCCCTACCATTGCTGAATTGTTTGGCATTTTCAAAGGTCTTGAGTTATGTTGACAAAAAAGGTACAAGACTGCGGAAGTTTTTTGTGATTGTACACAGGCAATCTCAACAATCACAAAAGACAACCATGGCTGTCACCCCTTTCAAAGTATTATCAATTCCATAAATTTGATTCTTTGTAGAAATTGGACTGTGAACTTTAACTTTTTATATAGGGATGATAATAGGATGACTGACTACTTGCTAAATTAGGTCATAAATTACCCAATAACTTTAATACTTTTGATGGCTGACTACCTTGCTAAATTAGGCCATTGTTTACCAATGACTTTAATATTTTTGATACCCCACCCATTAGTGGATTAAGGGTGGTTGGTTTGCTTTTCTTTTTGTTTGTTTTGTCTCCTGTGTTGTTTTCACATTCTGTTGAATGAGCATATTTCATGTTCATATTCAAAAAAAAAAAAAAACCAAAAATTGATATACAAGCAGCAGTAAGCTCAGAGGTCACATAATTTACTTGAGATGCCTTGCAATAGGCAGCAGAGAAAGGGTTCATGAGCTGTGGGACTTTCAACAAGATAATTTATATTCGAATCAAAAGATTATATGGATGCTGTTTAGTTATTAGAATGTAAGTTCTCATTCACTCATCGTAGAAGCACCGTTGCCTCCATAATTCCCTTGAAATGTCAAGAATGAACAAACAAAACTGACACAGTGTATTCTACGATAGTGCAGGAACAAGCTAGCTATCAATCACCACAAATTTCGAATGCAGGAACTGAAAGCAAGCAAAATAAGTAAAGATCTAACACCTCCATCCATGATTACTTACCCCAGTGAATATGTTTAAAAGACTCCAAACTCCGTATTCCTCTGTAAGGTAACAAAAAGGTCGTTGGTATGAGATTATTGTTCAAAACACGCCAATCATACGAGAAATAAATCGGCGGGGGAGAGAGAATTGCTGAAATTGGGGATAAACTCTTCCCACTAACGTGTTGAAACAAAAATATTCACATTCAAGGGGTTGGCATAAACAATAACCTTACAACTCCGCAAACAGAAAAGAAAGAGGGCGAAAAAAAAAAAAAACTGAAAACCCAGCAGCGAATCGGACATTATATACACAAAAGAAAATTATTAGATCAGTGAATTGCGAAAAAAGAAAAACTGACAGAGCTACTGATGAGAACCATCGTCACGCATGATGAAGGTGGGCGGAATCAGTAGGTTGAGAGTCGGCCTCAGAGGCGACGTGAGAAATGGGCTTGGTAAGCATGAGAGGGCGTTCGGAAGCGTCGTCGTCATCGTCGTTATCGATGGTGCTGAGGTTGATACAAGAGCATCGTTCCAAGGATGCGAAGAAGGCGGAGGCCATGCTGGTACCGAGCCAATTGGCGGCGCGATCCAGCTTCTCACAGGATATGAACCCACAATTGTCGGCCATTCTCAATATGGCGAGGTTTCGAGATTCAGTATCGGGCTATGAGCTCAGGAAATCGAAGAGATTTGATTTGAGAGGTAGGCGTTGGGGATGGCTAATCAGCGAGAAAAGGCAAGGGAAGGGAAGGGATATGCTAAAACCGAAAGCAGTGGAAATTTACGTTACAAATTTACCCTATGCTGTGTTTGCTGGGGAGAAAAAGTAGAGGAAGAGAAAAATGGGAGAGAACAATAGACTTTTTTTTTTTTACTTGATTAAGAAGAAAAAAGTGAGAGAAAAAATAAATTGAGAGAAAAATGATATATAAAACTTATATATTTTTATCTTCAATTTTTCACTCCAAATATAAAGATTTTATAGAAAAAATTTAATTTTTAAATTTATCCTTAAATCTTTTCATTTTTTACCTATTACTATCCTCTATTCATCCTAATTTTTCTTTCACTTTAAAATTTAAATTATTATATATTTAATAATCTAAGAAATAAAAATTTAAATTGAATAAAATAATTTTTACTAGATAACAGAATTTACAATTATATTTTTACTTAATTACTAATACATATCAAAATTATATAAATAATATGTTAAAATATTAAATTTTGTTATATAAAAATATTTTTTTATAAATGATAAGGTTATTATTAACTTTATGAAATTAACAATTTTTTATTCCTCCTATATTCTCTCGCTCAAACAAGTAATGGAGAGAAAACTACATTTCTTCAATTTTTTAATTCTTCATTTTCTCTCATCACATTGTCTCAATCCCTATTTTCTCTTATAAATTATTTAAAGATAAATTTACTATTAACTTTTTTACTTTTAACAATTTTTTGTGCCAAATAAACGTACACTTTTACAGAGTTAGAAAGAAAATATCTCCATGAAAATATTACTCCCCTGTCCTATATATAAAGTATTTTTTAAAAAATTATTTTGTTTTGAATATAAGGATGACAATGATATTTTTAAATAATTAAATAATTTTATCTTTATTTTGAAAAATAAAATAGATCGTTAATTGTATGTTTTTTTTAACACCATTATGATATTAATTATAATATTACGAGTGATAAAATTAAAAATTATTGTATTTTTATGTAAGTTTAATTAAATAATAAATATTTATTAATATGTAAAATTTGGTTAAAAATACATTATATATAAGACAGATAGATTATTCCTGAATCCTCTTCTAGCAACATATATGGTGATTTTGTTGATTATGTATGAAATCTGAACCATCAGTATGAGGTGCTGATCTTGTTTATTCCGCAGGCCATAAATCATTTTTTTTTTAAAAAAAAAGAATTAAATGCAAACACCTACACAATTTTGCATATCTATCTCTTCTCACTAAAAAGGGAGACTATTTCCCAATGAGAAAGAGACATACACACTTACCCTCTCTTCACTTCTTTTCTTTATTTTTTCCATTTCCCCTATCCCCATCATTAATTAATTTTATCATTTAAAAAAATTATTTAATAAATAATTTGAATGATGGGAATAAAGGAAGTGAAGGAAAATGGAGGGGGAAAAATGGAAAGACCTCTCTGCCCCCTACAACACATACTTGTCCTCCCAATTTTTCATTGTATTGAATATATAATTCATAACCTCTTTCTTTTAAAAGAAAGGGAAGTGTTACTGAATTAAGAGGCTCTTCGTGTTAATCGATTTTGTTGATCACCTCTGTTGGCGGAAGATGCCTGGTATATGGGGATGGCCATTAGCCTGGCGGTGAGAATTTTGTGATAGGGTTATCATGGTCTTTTTCAATATTTATGGCTTTCCTTTTACAGTCATTGTTTTTTCATGTTTACCAAATGAGAGCCAAGGGACACATTTACCACTTATCCAAGAGACATCATAAAATCTACTCAATATATATCGTCCCATCTTTATTACAAGATATATTCAATTATAAATGAAAAAAATAAACATATTCAATTACCTCATCATAATTAAAAAAAGGCATTACTCCATTCATTTTTATATATAAGATATTTTTAATTAAATTTTGTACACAATAAAAGGTTTTTATTTAATTGAAATCATGTAAAATTACAATAATTTTTTAATTTTCCTTCTAATAATGTCACAGTTAATATCATTGTGATAGGGGATACATCATATGATTAATATCTCCTACATTTTTTTATGCAGAAAAAAAAAATCTCCTCCATTTTTCAAGACAAGGGAAAAGTTGGTTAATTATTCAAAAATATCATAACACTTATTATATTTAGATACAAAATATATTTTCAAAGAACACTTTATATATAGGGATGAAGGAAGTAAGTTATAACCTTTGGAGAAATTTTTGCATGAACCTGATACACACATCATTCATACTCAATCCGATAAAATTACAATTCAATCTCATAAAATTATATGTTATTATTTTTGATGACTTTATTTTTAAAATAAAATACATATTTAATTTCTTGATTTTTCTTTTTATTATCATTAATGACAGAATTAATTTTTATTTACAGCAATATGAATGGCATGTTTTTAGTGGATGGAACATGGATGGTGCACTAAATACTTGCAAGAATTTCTCATTAACTTGATTTGAAAATATAATAAACTTTCAATTTTATCCCTATTTAAATGAAATAATTTTTAAATTTATATTATATTCTTTCTAATAGTTAATAATTTAAATAAGTAATATTAAAAAAATGTAAAATAGTGTGCCTTATATATAAGGACAGAAAATATTTTCAGAAAATGCCCTATAACAAAAACAAGAGGGGTTATCTATGAAAACTATTCGAAGTTATACAAAATCATCATTAATAGTATAACTTATAACTCCAAACTACTAGAAATAATGTACACTTGTACAGTTCTAACGTCTGGTTAACATAATGGTTTCATAGCATATTTATTGATGAAAGGAAGAATTAAAAAAAAATAGAGTAAAACGCGCACTGTATTTGACGTGACTTAGCAATTTTATTTAAAAAAATATAATTGATATAAACATTTGTAAGATATATATATATATATATATATATAATTCTTAAAAGTAGTATATGAAAAAATGACCCACACTTTACACTTACTCTATTACATGGAAAATGTTATCGAATAAAATAAAATAAAAGGTAAATAAATAAATTATTTTTTAAACATTATATTTACTAGTATCATATGTTTTGAACTTGTCTAGTGTGTAAATTATTTTTTTAAATTTTAAAAATGATACAATTTAACTTTTATCATTAACAAAAGTTAACTTTAATTCATTAATTAACTAAAAAATGACATTTTTTTATAATTTTTGGGTCATTATTTATAATTTTTAGGTCTTTTATTATAATTTTTTAATTTTTTTTCTATAATTTTTTATATTTTTTTATTATTTTATAGTCAATTAATGATTAAAGTTAATTTTTATTAATAATAAAAGTAAATTGCTTGAAATTACATTTAGTTGGCTTAAACTATAGTTTGTAGGTTTAAAAGCCAATTCACGGGTAAAAAAATATGTTTGGATGAAAGTGATTTGCAAATCACTTTTACATTAGTCACGCCGAAGTCTAACTATTAGTAACATTTAATGCACTTTAAGTTTATTAAATAATCTATTTATTATTTCATGTTTACTTTTAATATTTAATTTTATTATTTATAACTTTTGAGACACCAGACTCATGCTTTTTTAGGTTTTTAATGAAACTAAAGAGCTGGCTGAAATGATCTTGTTGTTTTTAATGAAATTAGACACGTGAATTTATATAAAAAAATTAATAACTAATGTATAAAAATAAATAATTAATGTGGATGAAATTTCACTACAGCATAATATTATTATGAATTTTTAACTCGCATTCTGCTTACAATAATCGTTCAATTTCTATACATTAATCATTTATTTTTTCTTACACAGGTTGTTAGTAACTTAGTATGCTTACTTCATCAAAAACAATAAAATCATTTCAGTTAATTATTTAATTTCATTTCAATCCTCTCATATGTGCAGTGAGATTTCAAAATTTTAAGCTTTAATTAAAATTAATTTTGGTTAATGAATCCTTATTAAAATTTTTCCTTTTTTAACCAGCCCATGTTCTTTTTAATTATTATACATTTAGACTTACTTTTTAATTATATTATTTAAATAAGTTTTAGTTGTTCGAATTAACTTTTTATAAAAAAATATTTTAATATAAACTGCATTACAAAACTGCATTACAATAACTTATTTTTGCCCAATTTAAGTTTGCAAACTATAATATATGCAAACTGTAGTTTTCCAAACGTTAATACAAACAAGTTCTGCACCATTTTTAAAAATTAAAAAAATAATAAATGAATGTTAAAATTTAGGAATAATTTACTGATTTATGCTAAAATAAATAACAAAATTGAGTTTACACGCAACAAATCCTCTAATATTACGTTATGCCATCATATAAATGGAATCTGAGAAGTATCGCATTTTCCTTCGTAAGAAATCATCAATACGGATTTACGATTTTTGACAAACAAGACGAATATCCCGAGCAACGGATCAGACTCCATAAATCCATAATCCATAGAGATATATCTAAAAAAGAAAAAACTTGGCACCCAACCCCATAATCCTTAGGCTCGCCGCCACGGGAATAATCGCTGACTAAGCAAATTCTTTTGGAAAGGAGCGTCATAACAGGAGCAAAGAAGAAGAACAAGAACAAAAGAAACTGTGACAACGTGTCGAGGCTTCTCTGCAACTCCAATACCCATACTCTCCAATCAATCATGGATTTTGTGTCTCTCTTCTTACCTTTCTTCTTGGTGAAGCTTGTTCTCAAATTAAAGTATCCAGACTCAACGATCATGAGGAGTCTCTTCCACGCAACCTTCCGCCACTATCCTCCTCACTAATCGATTCCATCATCTAACCTCACTTTACCTCACTTCCCATGATTCCATACTCAATTCCGTCTTCTTTCCATGTTAAATTGTTAATATACATTAGGACGCCATAGCCTTAGCCTGGCAATCTCACCCTTGGTTCCTTTTCATTTGGGTAATTCATCTTGCCAAAATTCTCTTTTCCCTATTTATCAGAGCCCAAGCCCGAGAAATTGAATCGTGAATTGTGGATCGTCTTCAATTTGACGCCATGCCGGGTCTAGTTGCGGCGAAAACCCCGCCTCATACGACCCCTTTGGGAGTCTCCGTTATCGATTATTCCAATGGCGGCGAACAAAGATCTTCTTCACCCATCGTGCAGCGAAGCTTAAAGAAGGCACAGGAAAAGCTGATCACCGACGATTCCTCCCTCGACAACCCGGACCTGGGTCCATTTCTTCTGAAGCTAGCCCGCGACGCAATAGCTTCGGGTGAGAACCCGAACAAGGCGTTGGACCTTGCGATCCGGGCGTCCAAATCGTTCGAGCGCTGTTCGGGTCCGGGTCTGGAGCTTACCATGTGCTTGCACGTTGTGGCGGCTATCTACAGCAGTTTGGGGCGGTTCGGAGAGGCGATTCACGAATTGGAGCGGTCCATTGAGATTCCGGATCCTGGAAAAGGATCGGATCACGCCATGGCGAAGTTTTCCGGGTACATGCAATTAGGGGACACATATTCGATGATTGGGCAGCTCCAACGGTCTGTTAAGTGTTACAGCACAGGATTGCGGGTCCAAATGGAGGCTTTGGGAAAGTCCGACCCGAGAGTCGCAGAGACTTGCAGGTAAAGTCCATGTCCATGTTTTATGTTGAGGGCCGAACAAGAAAGTCTTTGTCCCTTTCACTTCAGCATCCCATTTAATACATAAAATAGAATTGGAAAAAATATGTCCGATGATTTATTCGGTTTTTTAACAAATCACTAGGCTTAAAATACGGGAACTTGTTTGAACCTTTTTTGTTTTTTTTAAGATTTGGGTTTTGAAAATCGAAGGGTTTTTACTTTGTAATATAAAAAGGGCTTTTCAGTCCGGCTTGTATAAGCTCAAAAATAATTTGTGACTTTATCAAAATGTTTTTTTTTTCCCTCACTAGCGAGTTTGAGTTATTTGTTTGACCTTGTATTTATTTTTTTAAAAGAATTAAAAAAATTAATATCCTTATATTAAATTTGCACTCATGTGGTTGTATTTTAAAATTTAAATTTGTATTATTTTCTTTTAGACTTTATAACATTTTAATTTATTCTTTGAAATTTGAATATATAATGCAACGATGTGAAATTTATTTTTTAAGAAAATAAAGAAGGCTTTTAAGCTGACTGTTTGTATAATTAATAAAGGTTGGAATTCAAAAGGTGCTAGTTTTAGAAGGGAGAATATCAATCAAAGACCCTGAAATAATTTAACAAGAATACTTGCTGAAACAATAACTTCAATTATTATTTATTAATATTTACTTGATAAAAATCTTTATCAAATGTTAAATTTTTTTAGAGATATTTTAATGATATTTACCCATTTTAGAGTAACATAGCTTCTAAGCTGAACGCATTTCAGCTCAAGGGCTCCAGTTGCTGGCGTAAGAAATTCTTGAGGAAAAGAACGGAAATGAGAAACTATTTTTTATTTATTAGTGATCATGGCGTAATGCTCATCTTGAGTCTTGACTCCCCATATCCATCCATGCTGGACGGTGGTCCCTGGTCCAATCGGTGGATGTGATATATGTTGATTATTAAAATATATACATGTGATTGTTATTATCGGTGTTTTGGGCCACATGATTGGAAGGAATAATTTTGTGCGGAGTTAGCTTTAAGATTTGAGTTAATCATACTTTGCCCATATGATTAGAAGTAATAATTTTATTCGTAGGCAGCATTGAGGTTTAGGTTAATTATTTTTTATTAAGGATGCCATTTAATTTACTTTTGAGTATAATTTAAAATAGCACAAACTCTTTTAATTAATGATTCCATTCTCAAGAGCCATTCCATACACTACAAATGCAAAATTACGTCGTCACTATCTCCACTCCGAGTGACGCTACCCGATACCCGCGGACCTAGGTATCAGATCATTTCGCTGTATATATCTATTTATTTTGTTATCGCTTTTTTTTTTTTAATTTGTTTTCATTTGCATAATCTATTGAGATGTGGTTGAAATGTGCCCATAATAATTGATTCCTGATAGGTACTTAGCTGAAGCCCATGTCCAGGCTATGCAATTTGATGAGGCTGAGAACTTCTGCAAGAAGGCTCTTGAAATTCACAGGGAGCATAGCTCCCCAGCGTCCCTTCCCGAAGCAGCTGATCGGCGCCTGATGGCTCTCATATGTGATGCAAGGGGAGATTATGAATCAGCACTTGAGCACCTTGTCCTGGCCAGTGTATCAATGATTGCCAATGGACAAGACAATGAGGTTGCATCTATTGATGTTAGCATTGGCGATATTTACCTGTCACTCTGTCGTTTTGATGAGGCTGTCTTTGCCTATCAGAAAGCTCTCAGTGTGTTCAAATCCACCAGAAGCGAGAACCATGGTTCTGTGGCATTAGTATACATTCGCCTTGCTGACCTTCACTACAAGACAGGAAATTTACGAGAGTCCAAATCCTACTGTGAAAATGCCTTGAGAATATATACCAAACCTGTTCCTGGAACAACCCCTGAAGAGATTGCCAGCGGGTTAACTGAAATCTCTGCCATCTATGATGCTCTGAATGAGCCTGAAGAGGCACTGAAGCTCTTGCAGAAGGCAATGAAGTTATTGGAGGATAACCGTGGACAGTATAGGACCATTGCAGGAATTGAAGCACAAATGGCTGTGATGTTCTGCACAGTAGGGAGGTACATGGAGGCTCGGGACTCTTTTGAAAGTGCTATCACTAAGCTGAGGGCTAGTGGGGAGGGGCAATCTGCATTTTTTGGGGTTTTGTTGAACCAAATGGGGCTGGCTTGTGTGCAACTATACAAAATAGGAGAGGCAGCCAAACTTTTTGAGGAGGCAAGAGAGATATTGGAGGAGGAGTGTGGGACATATCACCTGGACACTTTAGGAGTGTATAGCAACCTTGCAGCAACATATGATGCCATGGGGAGGTAATCATTTTTCATAGTAATTTGCTCTCTCCCCTTCTCCCTCTCTCTCTGTGTCACTTTTACACGATTATGTTTGTTAAATTCACTTGTTTTTGCCTGGTTCTTCCCTTTCTTTATCAATGGCAAATGACTTCTTTCAAACACATGCATAATTTTTTTGCACAGATTTTATCACTTAAGTGATCTTTGGCACGTCATTATCCTTATTTTCTATGTAGTTAGAGCTGAGTAACAAAAATATTCAATAACCTTCTATGTAGGACATATGCAATAAATGTACATTAGCTTATATTCGTTGTGAATTCTTGAGTGTTTGGGAATCTAAAAAGTTTCCTCAAACCAAACACCACCTAAGGCGTTTTCTTTAATTTCAACTGTTGAATCTGGTAGAATCTCACATTCATTACACCACCTAAAGCTTTATATGTCATGGCATGTTTTCAGTCAAAAAGTTTTAACTTGTGAGCATATTCTCACTTTCACATGGAGGAATTGATCAAACCAGTTTATTTAGTGATCAATGGAATATTGAACTTCTGAACATGTGACGATGTTGATTACTTCTTGATGGGTTAACATTAATTTTTCTTCCCTGTTCTCTTTTGGTTTTTTGGTGTGATGCATACAGGGTCGACGATGCCATTGAGATATTGGAGCAGACGCTAAAGGTGAGAGAAGAAAAGCTTGGAACAGCAAATCCAGATGCTGATGATGAAAAGAAAAGACTACATGAGCTTTTGAAAGAAGCAGGAAGAGTTCGGAATAAAAAGGGCAAATCCCTTGAAAATCTTATAGATTCTAACTTTCTAAAGATGGAGAAGGAAGGAAGGAAGAGAAGGGCTGCATTTGGTTTGAGAACTTGAAGGAGAGGTCATTGTCTTGACTCTATTTCCTCTCCCATGTTGTTCTGTTTGTGATGAAGAAAAAATATATGGATGAATAAAGGGGGAAAAATGAAACCTCTCACATTCGGTGTCTAGGAGAATTTGTAAAGGTTTTTTAGATGAAACAGGCTTTTCTTTTTCTTTTTTTTTTGGCTTTATATTTTCTATTGTCACTCGTTTTTGTTTCCTTTTTTTTTTCCGGTAGATGTTTCCGATTTTTTTATTCTGCTCCCCCCCTCCCCCCCTTTTGCCAGTGATACGGTTATTGTTCACCAGAAGATAAACGTATATTCTTGATTAAACAAACTTTTGTTTCTGCACCTTGTTGGTTTATGTCACTATTTCTGTCCCCTGCTCTGAAGCCCTGTGCGTCAGTGCGTGGAATATAAAACTGTGCTAAGGAAAGAAGCCGAGAGTGCAGATTCAGTCTTGTTTTAGAGAGGGGAATGCCAAGAGTTCTTGTACCACTAAGGAGAGAAAAAATCACTAAATTTTCTGTGCGCTGCTATATCTTCTGGACTAATTCTTTTCATTTATACACAGAAACAGAAAATTAACAAAACGGTCAAGCTAGGTTTTGTTAACTATTACTCGTAAAAATAAAATATCAGTATTTCAAAAAAGAGAGAGACATATTCGTGTTCGGCATATGTTAGACACTTGAATCAGATCACATGCACATATTTGATATGTGATATTTACCATCTGATTCTTCAATCAAAACATTACTATATAGAAGATTTTTCCTCCGGCTTAGCGTTCTATAATTAAGCCGTCTTAGAAGAAAGCTCTTCGAATATCACTGCGCGCACGTAATTTTTATTATAGAATTTAATAACAAATACTTGAGAAATTTTACTTCTATTGTTTATTTTATTGTGTTGGTGTCAATTTAGGGTTCGTAAGGTATTATGATGCATTATTCTTATTTTGTTTCTTTACATTCATTTTCTGTTCTGCAGCCTCAGTCTGTCGTCTGATTAAACATGCGAGTACATATTTTCCAGGCACTTCTAAAACAAAGCGAAGAAGATTTAACACGAGGAGAGAAGTCCTAATACGGAACATGTTCAACTTGAATATGATGGTCACGCAGGTAGAAGCGAGAGCGGATTATTGATGGAAGCTTTGAATTCCATGAAGAATATTTCTTCTCGATATGTCGCAGCTGTCAAGGATTGGTTAAGGTCATAGTCATTAAAGGGGTGAGCACATGAGATGGTAATACGATGCTAAGTCAAGCCGAAGGTAGCTAACTTTTTTGTTTTTTCTTTTCAATTTTCAATGATAGGACAGGAACAGTGAGGAAAAATAATATACTATTCTACTACAGAACAATACCCTTACTTGTATTGTACACCTAGTCCTGATTAGTTGCATAATTTGATTATCAGAAATAATAGTGTTATTCAGAGAGTTGAACAAATTTTCGTTATGAAAAATAGTTCATTGACAATAGAAGACGTCTCTCTTCAAAACTGTGGGCGGGTAAATTTCCTTTGTTTTTTAGAATCAGCGGGCCTGCTGGTGAAAAACAAATGCAATATACTTAAATGAAATAAATTTGAGAGATTATTTTGTGATTCTTTAGGAGGTTGTACATGTTTAAAATCTTATGATGAGGGCTGGATGGTCACATATAGTTGAAATCGGTCAGCTTTAGCTCCCTCCAGCCACAACACGAACATGTAGTTTCAAATAATTGATACGCTTTATGCTATATGGAATCCTTTGTTTTCTGTCTAATATATGTAACCTGCAGTAAGACTGTTGCTTTTAGCAACTAGCTAGCCTCTTTTTTTGTATCACAATGAGGTTAGATCAGTATTTTTCAGAACCAATTTGATTGCAGAGACTGTTATTTCCCCCCCCCCCCCCTACTTTTACCAGTTTTCACCGGTTTATTATATGCCGTATTAATTAGATCTTACACTGGACTAAACAGTAATCAGTTTCTAGTCCAACCGCCAGTAAAAAAAAGTAAGAGTGTAGGACCAGAGGAATGATGAATTTCTTAGCCAGCAATCTTTCTAGACGTTAACGAGTTGCAATTTCTAAGTATTTTGAAGTAGGATACCTTGAAAATGATAGTTGTGAGAAGAAGGCGAGGCCTTGGATCTGAAGCGAATACCAAAATAACGGGAGATGTCTTGAACATGGTGGACAGTGACTGAGCAATAGCAAGAGCCCATTCGTCCACCCTCTTTCGAGTCACTGTGGTTAGGTCCTCTGTCCCAACAGTGAGAATATGACATGTCATTATGATCCCTCTCTTTTTCAACAAGCCACATCAATCCCTGCTTTTGTCTTGGTCTTTACTTCCACTTCCATCTTTGAAAAGTCCAACCCTCCCCCTGCTGCTCGCCCGGTGCTGTGTCTCACCATTGTATCCCTGAAAATCTCAACATTAGCAATGCTCCTTCCGTTTTAAAATACAAAACATTTTTTAAAAAATAAAATATTTAAAAATATAAAATATTTTTAATTTTTTAAAATATAATATTATTTTTTTTAAAATATCTCTATTAATAATAACTCTATATTTATTATAGGATGTTTAATATGAATAAATATAAAAAAATAAGATTAATTAAAAAATAGGTAATTATTTATTGGGGAATAAGATTCAGTTAAAAATACAATACATTTTTAACAGAAAAAATATAATTTAATATATACTTTTAAAAGTTATTAAATTTAAATAGTTAAATTCATTCTGACGATTCATGTTGGTGGCATTTTTCAGTGAAGATAGCCCCTCCATTCTCCACCCTCAACTAACTATTTGCTCTTCCATTCTTCATTTTTGTTTAACGTTTTTTTAAAAAAGAAAATGGTAATGCGCTTTCTATAATTAATCTCCTTGTCGGTGGAGACTCAATGGTCAATGCATTTACAAGAATACTTTTACTCTAGTTCTTAAATATCCTGTTTGCATCCCAAGGAGTTCATCCTATTTGATGTATAAAAATAATAATAAATAAATAAAATATTATTTAAGGACCACTGTAGCATTTTTATATCCGTCTGCATCAATCAAAGACTGTAAGATTTTAAAATTTTACTGCGGCCCCTTCGTTTTTACCTAAAATTTATTTTTTTACGCGAAATAATCAAATTAAAGTTTAAAATTAAAAAAAAAAAAAAGACGCTTCCACTATCATCGGCCGCCAAATTGCTATCAAAGACCTTGCCACCAGCAGTCGATTACTGGAACTCTAATGGCAATGACACTAAGATAATTGTTAAAAGTGGCTAGAGAAATTTGATCCCATAATTCATTGCCATTTAAAATATTTAATAACCATCAAGCCACCAAACTCATTTAAGCATACATGGTGAAAATATGTATGTATGTGCGCGCGTGCCAACTCAAGCTTTTAAATCACTTTCATATTATAACATAATAATGTATGGTTAATTATAAATTAAAAGCTTTAAAATTTCTTACATTTTACTTGTTATAAAGTTTGAATGTGTTGTTGTTGATAATGAATAGGTCGTTATCACAACTCAAATGATACTTATTAATGAATGACTAACACTTTTATAATTAAGTATATCCTATCAGTTTTTTTAACTTGTTAAAATCTGAATGAATTATTATTAATTTTAAATGAATTATTGTTAAAACTCAAATGGATACTTATTGATAATTGACGCACAAGTTTAATGAAGCAAGTGTAGAAACAACAAGTCATTCAGGTTTTGATAACAACGTATTTAAAATTAATAATAATTCATTCAAGCTTTAACAATTTATAAAAATGAATAGGATGAGTTTAATTATATAAGTGTTCATCCTTCATCAATAAGTATCCATTCGAGTTTTAACAATAACACATTCAAATTTACAACAATCCATTCGGTTTTAACAAAAATTGATACGATTTGCTTAATTATACACATGTTAATCATTTATAAAAAAGTATCTATTCAGACTTTGACAACAACTCATTCACTATTAACAACGACACATTCTATTTTAAAACTTTTAACTTGTAATTGACTACTGTTATGCTATAACATGAAAATGATTTAGAAGCTTGAGTTACTACATACTCCCTACGAACCATAATATAAGACAACTTTTAGAAGCTTTACTTAGTCCAAAATATAAACATTGGGCGATTTTTAGACTTTTTTTTAATTGTTTCCCTATTTTATTTATCACTCTGTTTTAAAAAAATGATGTATTGAAGTTTTAAAAAATTAAAGTTTCAACTAATATTTTTTAAAATCATAAATTAGTTACTAATACCCTATATTTGGGTCTTGAGATGTATGTATAGTGTATATGATGCCTATTAAGCTTTTTAGATAATCAAGGGATTATGTGATAAAACCCTCCTTAATTACATTTACCAATTATCCTTCAATCCTTTAATAAAAGTGTCCCCAATGATAAAGTTTCAATGATTATTTTAAACTTTAGAAATAATTCAGTCATTTCACATAGTGAAATTTTATAATCTTAATAGTAAATATGCTACAATGGTCCTTAAGTCATATTTTCCCTAAAATATTAAACATTGTATAAAAATACTTCTCATGCTTTTAAATAAAATAGTAATTAAATTATTAGGGAAAATTTTAGCTAAGGACTAGGGAATATATTTAATTTTAGGTGGGTTTAAAAACATAATAATTTTAATGGTGAAAAGATCAAAATACTCTTTATGTGTTATATAGTGAATTTTCTCATTACACTTGTTAATTTACCAATATTACTTATGAATTACATCCATTTGTGAGACAATTACTAACATTAGTTATAAATTTATTAACTTTACTTGTAATTTACTAACATCAATTGTAAATTAAAATTTTGTTAGTAATTTATAATTAATATTAATAAATTACAAGACCTGTCAATAATTTATAACTGATATTAGTAAATTAATAAATAAAATTAGTAATTTAATAATTGATTGTTGCTTATGATTAAAAAACTTATATCAAATTTTTAATAATTATTGACATATTAACTCATATAATTTATAATTCATATGCATAAATTAACAAGCGAAAGTAAAAAAATTAACAACTGGTGATTTTATATAACAAATAAAAATTATTTTAATCTTTTTACAGAAGAAATTCTTTTGAGTTTTCTTTCTTAAACTAAATTAAAATTTCAGAATATTATTGAACACACCTGAAATTAAATCTCTACCCATCCTTAATCCTTAATTGATATTCCCCTAAATAATTATTGGATAATGATAGTAAAAATAAATTAACATTTGAGTGAAAATATTAATGCACATGTATAAAGAAGGAAACTTCCGGAAAAGATCACAATGCTAATTATGGTTGTCAATACGTAACAACTTCATCCTCTCACCTCACCTCATCTAATCTCTCTCTCTCTATATATTGGCACACACATACACACACGACATGATGTCTCAGCGTTATTCCCAAGAACATGGAAATGGAAGTGAAACCCCACCAACCGTGCGCAGCTTGCAAGATGCTTCGCCGGAGATGTGACAGTAAGTGCCTCCTTGCTCCATACTTTCCGGCCGACGAGCTTGACAAGTTCGCCGTTGTTCACAGAGTCTTCGGCGCTAGCAACGTTATCAAGATGATTCAGGTCTGATTTGTTTCATCAAGACTTGAGTATCTTCCATTAAGCACATAATTAACTATATACACGCGCGCTTGCGTTGTTTGATTGATTTGTTTTCTGTTCGTATCTAATGATGAAGATGGTGGAGGAGACGAAGAGGGAGGACGCAGTGAAAGCTATAGTGTACGAGGCAATGGCGAGGGTGAGGGATCCAGTGTATGGCAGTGCAGGGGCTATAAAGCAGCTGCAGAAGATGGTGAAGCAGCTGAAGGTGGAGGTGGAGACCATGAAGGCTAGGGTTTCAGAGGTGCGAGAACAAAGAGACGAGTTGCTGATGAATATTGGCCACCATGCGGACTCTCTTCATCATCTTCCTCATCATCATCAGTTTCCCAGCAATGTTGTCCAAGACCCTGTGGCTGTCTTTGATGACTATTACGCTGCTCTCTCGTTAGACCCAATAATGGATCAATTCTCTCTGCAAGGCGACTGGGTCTTGTAGTGCTACCTACTTTGTCTTCTGGAAACTAAGCTTAATAGTGTAGTGATGTAGTCATATCAAACAAGAACGCTTTAATCTTTCTAAGATCAGACAAGTTAGCATACTGTATGCTCGTTGAATCTTCTATGTTGTAGGCCATGATACCTGTTTGTATATGTGTGTGTATATCATAAAAACTAATGACTCCTACTTTTCTCCGGTCAACAAACTATATCCAAAAAACCAGATTAACTAATTACAATTTATATATGTGTGTGCATTCTAATGAACTAATACTGACTAATCATATGTAATTCTTTTTTCAATAAACAAGGCCACGATCAAAATGGTGTAAAAAGTGACAAAATTAAGTCGAATTTAGAAGAAGAAGATCCTTGATTACACTCTAAAGAAGGGTCGATAGAAACGTTTTATGATGAGACGTTTGGCTTGATGAGTCTGTCTGTCTGTATATTGGTTTGCTTCTTTAAAAGTAAAAGCATGATTTAATTTCTAATCTTGCATAATGATATTTCTCATCTTTTTCATATAAAAGAGGACGATTCTGGGTACGTTTATATAGTTCCAGACTAAGCACATATTACAATATATACTCGCTTTTACTATCAAATTGAACTAGTATCGTGGAATTTCTAGAACACCTTTTTCAATCAAAAGGCTATGAGGGAAAAACATACTCAAAAAGGAAAAAGCAAGCTCTGATGATCATGATCGCGTAGCGCAGCAATTTTGCAAGTATATACACAAAAGCTCTATGCAGACTAATGAAATAAATTTTAGTCAGCCAATTCACACCTTCATCGTTACTAATTATAGTCATTCAATAAATATTTACTATTCTAGTATGATATTGGCTCGATCACGCATGCTTAATTGTTCATTTTTGCATTATAATAATTGGAAATGAAGAAGAGAAAAGTGATGAAAATATAGATATAGCTAGGTTATATTGACGCAGATAATTTTGAAAGTGTATGTGTCAGCTGAGATATGTATGTTGAAAATTAACGGATTAAAACTCTGGCAACGAAAAACGATTATCTTAGCTTCTTGTTCTCAATCAATGTTGGTCTTGAAAATTCATGCCACGTGGATGGACCATAGGAAGCTAAAAACAAAAAAAATATCAGAAGAAATCAACAAGTACATACCATGTGCCTAACTTTGTTTGCTGGTATATAGAGTTTCATTGCATGCAGATATTATATCATAAATTTGTAATCCCCTGCTTTTGACGCGCATGATTCAATTAGACTTTATTGATGGATTTGGATTCACATTGAATTATCTCATTTGATATTATAGGTTGTGATAACAATCATTCAATTAAATTACAAATTTTTGGAAGAAACAACAAACGCGAATACGTGTTCTGATTATAAGAGTTGTTTTACATTTTGTGATAAAAAAATATGTGTTAATCACTTTTAAATATTGATAAAATTTAATAATTATAATTAAGATATTTATTGATTAGTGAGTGAATTTAAGTCACTTGTTAAATCTAAATCCTTGTTGGCTGCTTTAACATTCATATATGTAGTTCACACAAACACGTCTTCTGCACAGAAAGTTAGCTGGACGGCACCAGCCAGATCCTGGTGAAACCAATTTTTGGATCCTCTCTTCCCTGATAGGTTATTGTCTCCATTTGTCTCACATGAATTTTTTGTGACTGGGTTAATTTCATCACAAGGAAGAGCAGATCAAAATTCCGAAATTATGAAAGAAAGTATCCTTGGTGTTAAATGGGACATTCTTCTCTATTTAATTACATTAAATACCAGTACGAGTGACAGAACCATTATCTTCTAAGCAAGTCTATTATTTAATGCACTTCTACTTATTCATCAACAGGTGATGATGGATTAAGAGGTTTCAGGCCCCCTTATCAATTCAGCCCCTGTCGACTTATATAGGCCCGAATTAGACTTAGTCCATTAACCATTTAGTCGGGCCTTCAGTTTTGTCCCCTTCTGCCCACAAGGCACTGAATTACTAATATCAAATGACAGCGTAGTATAAAAGATCAACCCACCTAATTGAATCAATAAATTATTAAATTAATATTTTAATTATTTTAATAAAATATTTTATTTATAATTAATTTAATCATGATTTGATTATAATTTTAACTTTTGAATTGATTCAATGACTGATTCAATATTGTTAGTACTTTTATATTCGTGTAAGTTAGTGCCATGAATCTATTATTTCTTGGTGGAGAATTCTCTTAATTTTTAAAATGAGTCACGGTGATTGGGCTTAAGAGGTTTTGCACACCCCTCTCCTCTGAAAATGAGATTCTTAACTTTATACGATAATCATCAAATATACATATCAACTTCACAAAGTTTGACATTAATCTCAATTCTCATTATTCATTTTGTACCTTATCACTAAATATAAATGTTAACAAACTACTATTCACCAAACAATATCAGTATACAGCTAAAATGGCTTAAACATTATGTGTGGCATTGAAATATTCTTTTAATGACATTTACTTTTTAATATAACAATAGGCAACAAAAATCACATGTATGACCAAATATTAGAAAACGTGTAAGTAGCACATAGGGTTTTGGAGTAACATTGCCTAGTTAAACTAATCCAAAAAAACTAACGGTTGTTAAATCTAGTAGGATAAGCTATTTCCTCATAATATGGTGAATCAATATTCAAATTTCTATTAAGAAATATACTTATATTTAGTATTCGATCATGCCTTGATTAATGTTTCATTTGCAAGTTCAACTTTTCTTTAAGATGTTTTTTGGATTTATAAGCCATGCTTTTTGTGGGGGCTTATTAAAGATAACGAAAGAAGGTGGAAATGCAATTTTGCTAAAAACTTGAACACATTATAATCACGAAGGCTAAACTCATGGCTATGCATGGGATTTAAAACTTTGTGAGCTTCATGTTTTCAAAAAAATTAAGTTTTACACAGACCTTTTTACTCTTTTTAAACTCATGAACATCCATGATAATAATTGCCTAATTTTTAATAATATGCATGCTATCATAAATCTTTTAATGAAAGATTGAGAAATTAGCTATAAACATGTTCATAAAAAAGTTAATTCACGCAATGAGTGCATTGCAAATGTTACTTGAAATATAGATTCGAAGGTTATCATTTTCAAGGATCCTCCCATAGATTGGAGTAACTTTATTTTAATTTTGTTGATCGGCGATAGGGTTTTTCCCATTCCTTGTACTAAAAGAATAGGTCTCATTTGATGCATGGAATTAATTTAGATGGAAATGGAAATAGAATTTGAATTGGAAATGGAAATGGAGGTAAAAGTAAAAGTGGAACTAGATGGCAAAAAAAAAAAAGGAAATTGAACTAGTTTGAAAAATATATTTGGTATGACCATATAATTCTTGTATGAAAATACTGAAAATAGCCCTTCCAAAAAATCCATTATCTCTAAAAAAACCCATCATACACAAACCTAGAATCACTACTACTATTCGTTGATTAGAAAAATAATTATTAGACTGTGGAAGTAGAATGGCAAAAAAAATTTAAATTGAACACTATTAGAGGGCATAATGAAGTGCATAATCAAATCAAAGAAGGGGAAGAGGAGATGAGGCATCACATGTTCTAAAGCCTTGGAATGTTTGCTTAAAAGCTCGACTCCATGGCAGTCACCTTTTAAATGTTGGCAAATGAGTACAATGTTGTTTTTCAACAACGGTGGTCTTAGAAATGGAGACAAAGGGGGGAGGATACACTATATCTTATGATGAATTGATAGTCAAACAAGTCATAGTCCAAAAGTGGAAGGACATAATGATTAGGGTTCCTAAATGATGAGAAGTGCAAAATCCTGATATACTAACCGAGTTTAACCAAATAATCTAATTACTTGATAATTAAATATTTTAAAAATGAGATCCCAAGCATTAACCATTTATAAATAATCTATTTAAAAGACAAAATCAAAGTTTTATTGTGCATAAAAGCATGTAGTAACACGCGTTCAGAAAAACAATTGAAAAAAGGGCAAAAATGATGTTTCACAAAATTTTTGGGTTGTTCGCCATAGCCAACCATGCACTCGCCATAACAAACCATGCTAAGACCATTCATAATGGCCAACACACATGTAAGCCACAGAGAGCCTCCTATATGTAATTTGCCGCGATTAAGGCACCATTCACAGCGATGAGTTATATAGGTATCACAGCAAATGATAAATATAGGGGCCAAATTCTAGCATAAACCAAATCTCTACTTGACATCTAATTGAGGTGATCTAAATATGCATATAAAAGCACAAATAGAGAGCTAACTATGTCAATGGTTTCATCTCAAAACTCAATCATACATAAGAGTTAGAGACCCAAACACAATTTAAGCCTTTTAACACTTCTCACAACACAAAGGCGTCTAAACCCTAGATCAAATCATAAGCTCTTACAACTACCTAAATCAAGCTTAATGGACCTAGAATGACCTGTGTAATGTACCATGACACACCAATACTTTCAAAACATTAATTTCAATTCTCAACCCTAGTTTCATCAAAAGTAAAGGGGAGGTAATCACAATTCAAATCACCAAAATAATCATTTACAAACTTTCAATTACCTTAAACATACTTGCGCTAGTATTTTAGCCATGACTAAGCCTTATCAAGAAGTTCATTTTATCACAGGGCACAAAATAAAACCAATAAATAACTTAACGTATGAAATGGTGCAAGCACTCAAAAATAAATAACCTAGTTGGCATTATCATTATAAATTACACACAAGAAAAAGAATACAAGGCATTATAGTGGGAATAACTTATCCTGAAGCCTCGGAAGCCTTCCCCCTATCTTGACCAGAGTTAGTGCTTGTAAAACATTGAATAATAGGGTGAGTAAAATTAGTCAATAACCAAAGTCATCTATAACATAATCATGCAAGTCAAATAATTACAGACATACATAGTAGGCAATTTTAAAACAATTAATATTTCTTTACTATAAATCAATGTAATGCATGATCATATACATCTCCAAACCTCCATCTCTGCTAATTGAATCCATAGGCTACAAAGTAATTAGGAGCTAATCTTATGTGATCAAGATAGTCCAAGCTTTTCAATCAGGAGAGGTGAC